AAGCTAGCACTAGTTGTATTTACGTTTTTACGTTCGTAACAATAATTTTTGCTCGCGACTCACGTCAGCGATATCGCTTTATGCATTAGTGCGATTCCACGCTAAATACCCTCTCTTCCGGTTGACGTATTGACCAATCAGAGCGCGTGTTTACTTTAAGCTATGCGAGTCTAGTTCATATAGCAACTCTTTTAAGGAAATCCGAAAAAGTAAGCGAAAAGGGTCTGCCCACTATTTAGCCTCGTTTTCATGCTGAGAGGATAACTCATTAAAATCCATTTAAACTTTACTTTAAAAGAGCAATTCTAGTTTTTACATAAGAATTTAGGGCAAATTTATCTTTTCTAACACAAAAACGTTCGCTCTTGAGATGATAGGCTAATATTTGTAAATGAAAGTAAACTATAGTGATTGGAACTATCTATGAGTGTTTTTGCATATTCAGAGTCACATGATCAGTCACGGTACATGTTTCACGGATTTAAACAGTAAGCAAAGTTCCTGTTATGAAACTGACTTCACATAAGAAGTTTAGTCTTAAAATCATGGTCAAAAGGCCTGGGAATCCCATTTTATAAGTCAGCCTCGTTTTTATGCTGAACATGGTTTGTCCACGAAAACATCCTCTTAACGCAAAACCTATACCACAATTTTACTTTACAAACTACCTAGCGTTAATCAACAGGTCTTCCTCTATCAAAACCTACTATCAAGCCTTTTCTAACTCGTGGGTTGTGCGAAACCTCAATTTTCCAGTCCTGGCTTCCGGACTACAAAGTTTTTTAGTCAGTGACAACAAAAAAGTTTTTATTTATTATCATGCCTGACTACAACTATAGTATTTTTAGAAACCTGTTTAAATGTTTATCTTGATATTCGACGGCCTTTTGTAAAATTGTAAAAATTGTAAAAAAATTAACCTGTCGTGGCCAATAACTCGTAATGGGCCCGGCAAGCCATCTTGATTCTGATACTGCTTCGTACTGAATTTTTGTTCATATGAAAATCCCTCTGAACTTTCATTTTGAGGTAATCTTTCAGCGAAACATCTACTTGTCATTAACTAGTTCCCAAAGCTCTGATCAGCAAATGATATTGTAAGAGGTAGAAAAGTACTAATAATTAATAATAATTTAATATTTATATTGCGCAAATTAACATGTGTATATGATCAAATGCGCATCACAACACTTTTCGGGGAACTTTGGCCGGACTGCATCAGCAGTTTACAAACAATGGAAGGAAACTTATTTGAAGATGCCCCCTTCCCCCCAATTCCCAGTAAACAGGCCAGACCACATCACAGTAATCTCGTGAYACGGATGATTTAACGTCCTCTGCCTAACCAAATTAACTAATTAATAGATGTAGGAGACGGGACCTACGGTTTAATCGTCCTTATCCGAGAAGACTAGAATGTCTATCCATTTCTTGATATTATAGAAAGGTAGCGCATTCTCCTCAGTTATTTCAAGACCTAGAGTGTTGGTCCGACCGGGGCTCGAACCATCGACCTCGACCTCCCGCACAACAGTCCAGCGCTCTAACCAATTGAGCTAACCGGTTTGCGGTTAGCTCAATTACTATCCATTGAAAGACAAATTAAGGTGTGCCTTTAGTATGAAAGCTCCCAAAATAGATGTCGGGGAACCCAAAGAACTCATCAGAAATGAATATAGAAAAAGACTTGGTCTTTCATTGACGAAAAGAATGAAGAGTCGAATTTGATAAAAGACCGTATGTCAGACCGTATGGTTCGCGAGATAAACTCTGATTATGGTTTGACAATTTCATTACTCGTATCAGTCAACAAATCATTTACATATATGCATACCATGTCCCTAACAACCGCAATTCTGTGAATAGATTTTGTGAACAGTCTCCAGTTCTTACGGAGACCTGATCTGCAATGTATTGTTTTGCAAGTGATTATCTATTTTAATGAAATTTTTGGTTTAACCACATTGTGACGTCATCTGTTACTGACAGACGCGTACTTACATACATACTATTTGATAACTGTACACACTGGCAGCTGTGTGTTCAAATCATGTCATATGCGTTTCAGTTTTGCAGCGCTCCTGTTGCTGAACTTGACAACATTCATTTTAAGAAACTTGTGAGAAAATTGACACCAGCACACCCGAGTCTTTTTTACCGGTATTTTAATTATCCTTCAGAGAATGAAAGTGCTGCGGTCGCTCGGGAGCAGACTACCAGTCTTCAGCAAATGTACCGTGAATGGCAATGGTAACATTATGTTAACGAATCATAGCCTTCTTCGAGACCATGACTTTTATCAAGCAAGGACCCCTACTAAATACTTTTCCTTAACTTCGCACGTTTTTAGGACAACTTGTTCGAAGAAGCGAATTTTCATTGATAAGGCAGATGAACTTCACCCTACATATTAAGAAAACTCCCAAACATTACTCGTACTATGACCCACAAGGTGCACTCTAGTTCGTGGAATTCCCCAAAGTGCAAGTTGATAACGGCCCTTAAAAATGTACGACTTGTAGCTTATGATGCGGCGGCGTGTAAGTTCACATAACGATTAATCCACACCCATACCTGGTGTTCCTTTTCATACACTATTTTCTTACCTAAATTCTAAGCATGAGCATGATGTTAAGTATCCTCGATTTTCCTACTTCCACTCTGTGAAGGTTATTCACCATTCTCAAGACTTTGCTTGGCATAGTAATCCGAGTTTTCTAACCATTTCTGACCAAACTTTCCAAAAGTCTTTAGTTTAGTGCAAAAAAGGCACAGAAATAATCCACACACCAGCTGTCCTCAAGAACACTCTTTCAACCAAGTATTACTTCAAGAAACCCAAAGTTACTTGGCCGATTTAGTTCGAAAACCAATAATTTATCCCGGTAATGCTACATAGAAGAACAAGTTGTCATAGCAATCAGATCGGATTTAGCGCTACTCGTGCTTCGGGAGAATGCCACTGTGAGACCTTCAAGTTTACTCGAAGTTTCACCAAGACTATTCCTCATTTTATCGGGGAATCACAACATCTAATAACGTTTCTTCATTTACATTTCCAAAGCAAAAAAGGAGAATTAAAAAATTCCCTGTTGTTTCTCTACATGGGATAAAAACAATGTCCTCATGGAAAATGGGTAGATAATTCTGAATATGACATTACATAATAATCTTCAAGAGCTTGTAATAGGGTTAAGCTAGTCTAGTGCACTTGTCTTGTATGATAAATTGTCAGCCTTAATAACAGGTATTATAAGACAGCGATTCCATAAAATGATTGTCCAGTCTAGTTACTGTCGATCGGTTCCGATACTTAGTGCTGACGCATTACCGGCGAGGTTTATTTCATTAGACAGAGGAAAGACCAATTATGCCTCTTTCCATCTCTAGTTCTGACTGTTTTTTTCTCCATAGGTAAGTAATTTATTTCAATCCGTCTTCATTGTAGCAGTCTTTCAATTGCAGCATTTAAGTCGCCGCCGGTTGCAACTAAAGCTGAAATAGAAATGCAAACAACCAGTTACTTTTTGTAAAGAGAAATTCACAAATCTCCAGAACTGTGTGTAATATAATGTTTTGGTTGAGTATTCGCAATTCCCCATTCACTTATTACCTCCTTTTCTGGCAATACAGCGAACAGCTATAAACCTTAACGGCTAACTTAACAAAGTGACCTTAAGAAAGATACAGCAATGTAACAGAAGGGAAAGCTACAAAGGTCTAACCTTGGATATTCCGAGCGCGGTCTACAAATCCCATCTGAGCCAACTGTTCCAACTGGGCGCGGTAGGTGACCTCAGGATTTTGAGTCTGAAATCATAAGGGAATACCTCATGAAAATCAAATCATGATCTCTTTCACTAATTACGGTGCAAACGTTTCTGCATTCTTAATTGCTTCCCAACCTTCCCCCTCCCCGATAAATTTCTAATGTTTCAACCGACCTTAAAGTTGTTGGAGAATTCTTGATTTTAGCTGAAACCCAGCGGCTGAAAAATTTTATTTTAAGAATACTATTCTGCTAAAAAGCCTCAACAAAGTCCCACTGATGCACCACAAATCGGAGAATCAGTCAACATGTGTCTATGGCCACTTCAAAAATCATACCTGAGTCATTGCTTGCTGCATCATTTGGGACATGAGCTGCGCCATAGGGTTTCCCTGGGGAGCCCCTTGAGTAATTCCCGGAGTACTTCCAGCATTTGGCCTTTGTGTTTCACCTTGCGTGCCTACCAAATCAAACGAGTATAGAGAAAGTGTAAAAACAAACAGAAAAACAAACACACTGCTACAATCTCCCTGTAATGCAACAAACCCATTCCTTCAATTGAGTGGTTCTCTGTATCATAGAGGAAGGTAGTTCGTGAGGAAGGTGGTTCTCTGTATCATAGAGGAAGGTAGTTAATTGAGGGAGCCCACTTAAGTGACCGAAATGTCTAACAACACTGGAGGAGAGGTACTCTCCAGAAACTATTATCAATCCTTATTTCCGCCATTACAGTATAACACCTTACAGAGGAAAAATGTCCTTGTGATGCTGCGAAACCATGCAGGAAAAATGACACGTGTACTGTACGTCGTTGGATCAACAAAACGATTTTGCGCTCTACAATTGTGTAAAAATGTACACCCACACAATGGACGGTCTGTGTATCAACAGTTACAACAGAGAAAGATACCATTGTAAATCAGCAACTTAAGCTTCTAAGTGAACTATGGGTCTTAAGTCAATTGACCACACTACAAATGATGGCACTTCCGGACTGCAGAGACGAAAAGGTGCCGTTTTAGAGACATGCCCATGTTTCCCGAGTTACTTCTGGGAACGCCTCAACAATTGAATATCTTCAGGTGAATCGCGTATTTTTGTGTAATATTATCTTACGCATTTTTGAAATTGCAAAATTCGCGAAATTAATGTTTTGCGAAAATGTTGTGACAAGGTGTGAGATTCCCAAGAGTAATGTTTGAAAGATGTATCAATAGATATCATTACGTCAGAATCCCCTCATTCAATTGCATTCTATTGACAACTTTAATTAAGGATGGTGAGATATCAAATTCTTTAAGTGAAACTGGGCTAAGGTAAAGTATAAACTCAATTTGAAACAGAAAAAAATTATACAAAGGACAAGACACTAAGTCAATTCACTACGTATTTTGTCATTAGTGATTTGTATTTGCTCTACAAAAAAATCTTTACATCTATTAAATGTATTGAATAAATACGTTCAAGAAAGTTTTAAAATCATTAATAAATTAAATTCACAAAGTTCCCCTAACTTCATTTAGTTAGGGGAAGTTACACTTTTTTTGTACCTTAAGTAACTCGATTGTTTACACACTAGATGTAACTAATTTTATTTTACAGCCTTAACGGTAGCGCGAAAAGACAATTACAACCCTGAGCAAACGTGTAAAATACTGTGCGAGTTTCCTATTGTATTTTTAGTGCTATATCAAAAGAAGAAAGATAGTATCGATGTCAGAAGTGTAAGTGCCTATAATGTCAGAAGTGTAGGATAGTATATTATTAAATCACTCGCAGGGCCCGTGGGCAAGATGAAGCGTATCCTGTGTTCTGATTGGCTACCCGAGCAGGCAAGATGGCTCGGGATTGCCCGCATTGATCCTGAGCATGAAAAAATAGAATTAACACTACGTTCGTAATTCTTGGACAATTTCGGCGATGGAAACGCAAAAAGCGGCAGAAGATGGTCAAACCGAAAAAACAGAAACGACTCTCGTGAGTTTGCTGCGCTACAAACAGTTGGGTTTCTTTCCCGGCTCTTGAAGAAAGCAAGTCATTCTTAATAAAGCGAAATCTTTTTGCAATATAATAAATCCTTTATCAACCAAGCTTGTTCGGTCAAGATGGCTGGGTATAGCCTCGTTCTTTTTTTCGCATTTTTATGGACCTCGATTTCGTCTCGGTCCATGAAAATGCAAAAAAAGAATTCGGCCAATATCCAGCCATCTTGAACTCACACTTGGTTAATAACGCATAGGTATCAGAAGGAAAAAATATGTTATATGCGTCTGATAGTATTCAATAGCATGATAACCCTAAAAGTATTGTATATTAAGTTTAATATGGTCAGGTAGGTCAGTGTTGAAGTGTGAGTCAACCGTGTTATTCAATAAACAAGTCTATAAAAAAGGGGGAAAAAGGTAGTTGCGCAGCTTAGCGAAAATCGACTTGAAATGTGCGGAATTCGTGTTATATCAACTCGTTAACTTGGTAGAAAGGACATCGATAAGGCAAAGTTCCACCCAGAGAGCGGGAAACACAACTCCCGGTCTATAAACAGATGCTGATTTAGTTATGGCAGAACTCACTGCTCAAGGCAACACGGTCTTTTTGTCTAGCTCCTAATTGTTAAAAAGATCCCTTGGAGATGAAAAAAAAGGAAAAGTAACGCTCTGGCCAGGTTGCTGGATAAGATCTAACCGGCCGATGAATAAAGCGATTATCTTTAAGCCTGGGAAGGCCTTCCGACCCAAAAACACGGTCCGTGCCATAATTGTATAAATACCTTTTCATGGCTAAGACTAAACAATAAGGTTGCTAGAATAAACCTCTTTAAGTTTTTTCAACATGTCTATAAAAAATGTAAAAACCTTTGTCAAACAAACCTGATGTCTGCGATGCAGGCGTGGTCATAGTACTGCCTGAGGAAGGGGTTGAACTTGTGCTCATTGTAGAAGGGGAGCCACCAGGAAGGCTAAAAATAAAAGAAACAGGGACTAGAATTATCTCAACAGGAACTTCTTTTAGCTTTGACATTGTGCCCTCAAAAGAAAACAGAGCTGCAAGTCTTCAGGGAATCTTCAAAATCACTACTACTCTTTGTTACTTAAAAAGAATACACCAATCATCCCTTCGTTAACGTTTCATTTAGCTATCAGAACCGTTTCCATAGTATATGTTACCAGTACCGTAATGACGTACAGACTTGATATCACATCTGATTATCTTTATTGCAGATGAACTTCTTTACATGTCGCGCGTATTGTGACGCATTTGATGACATGATTTATGACACTCTCCCAGGTCGTCAAGCAAATTGTGTTGTGACTTAGTTAATGACCGTAGAAAGTTATGAATGAGTATTGGGATAGTATTACATAGCCTCCAGCAAAACTGATATTGTGCTCTCAAAAGTCAATGATTATTCTGATGGTTCCTTGATTCTCAGTGCTGCCTTTTTTTTAGCAGCAAGACGTACAGGACGACCATGTTCGTCACTTACAGCTTCTTGTCTGTGTTCTATTTGCATGACATTTTACCACCATCTGACATTTCCAAAGGATTAAGTTTTTTCCATAGGCCTTGATAGTTCTTGTCCAGAACGTACTCTTAAAGATACGGACCTGACTAATCCGCCTTTCCCTGAGTGTAAATCGCTAACGACACCTACTTCCCACTGGCTGTGTGGATTATCTTGTACGAAAATAGCATCTCCTATAGCGACTGTTTTCCTGGATGATGTTGTCGTTCGGTATGAATGATGTTCGCGCAGACTTGTTAGACATTTTGTTTGTCATCGCGCCCACAAGGCCTGAATTACTGTTCCGTGATACTTTGCTCTTTTCGCTAGTTCTTTTCGTTAAATCCCTAAAGGGACATAGTCTCGACATGTTTCCTTCTCTCTGACTCTTGTGTCAGGTGGTGATAGAAGGCGTTGTCCACCTAAGAAATGTGATGAGGTTAGAGGAGAACCACCACATGATATCCATGTAGGATTATGTCAGGGGAAGGCTGTTGATACAGCCTCTACTTCAGTATGTGTTGTGTTTATTTCAATCATATCCAGGCAGAGTGTTTGTTTAGTTTTCTTAAAGCATCTTTTCACTAGTCTGGTAAGCCATTCCTTGAATCTTCCCCACCGTGGAACTCTTTCCGTTAAGAATTTCCAAGTGATGCTACAGGTATGGTTGGCGAGGAACTATTGCAATGCATTTGTTTCAAGGAGTTTAGTTTTCATTGTTTGAAGCTGATTTCCCAGAGCTTGGTTAATAGCTCTCATCCACTGGCGTCACTTATTGATGTACTTAAGAGTTTTTCATTTCACTTTGTAGATGGTTTGCACGTGACGTCACGAAACTTCCGGTCGCCATATTGGTGGACCACTCTTCGCGCGAAATTTCAAAATGGCAGCCTGCCCTCGAGAGAGTAATGTGCAGTTAAGCGAGAATAAATATTCCAGGATAACCTCACCTGTGATACCCTTGTCCGATTATGCAAACAGGTTAGAGAATAAGGTCAAACAACGTTATCTTGAAAAAACATCAGCGATCGGAATCAACCCAATCTTAATGGAGGGCAAGAACTTAGGGCCGGATCGTTTACCTCCAGTGGAATCGACGGAGCTGCTGTTTTACCTTATGCTGGAGACTAGCTTTTACACTAAACAACAATTTAAAGCCTTTCGAAGCCTTCATGCACACAATCAAATGGTATCGGGTTCATTTCAAGTGTATGGGGACACATCATTAACAATAAATTTATCGTTTTAGCGAACGAATTTGCAAAGAATGAATGAAGCCTTGATTTTTGTCTGGATCATTACCGAATGAATGAAAACTTTATTCAAGTGTCAATGTATTTAGCTTTACAGGTGTAAAAACTAATTGGGGACACTACTTAGTTACTTAACCTACAGAAGTTTAAAGATAGATTTATTAGTTATTTACACATTTAGAGTAAAATTTCATAAGTAAAACTGGAGCCTTATTTACATACTAATAATACTTTTAGATAGCTAAAAATTATACAGAATGATAAAATCTTATTTTATGAGCAGATTTCACAGTCCACGCAGGTGTCTTTTAACAATTCGGTCAGGTTTAGTTTCTTCATGCTTTGTCTAAAATCGTTTAAAGATGTTTTCTCCCGATCACTGACGCTTAACTTCCTCCATAAGTACGGTCCGAAGTAACGAAGTGAGTGTTTGCCGTAACGGGACGTTCTGACCCTCGGGATATCAGAATCAGCGTTCCTAAGCTCATAGCCTTTATAGGTAGACTGGAATATTTCTGCAATATACAGTGGCATTAATCCGTTTTTAACTTTAAACGTGAGTGTAGCTATGCTTTGTAATCTCCTTTCATATAGAGTTGATAGGGAGGCTCTGTTTAATAAAGTACTGTACGTGTAGATTTAAAAATTTAGATTTAAAAATTGCTCTCAGTGCTCGTTCTTGAATACGTTCGAGCTTACGTCTATCGGCCGTTTTGCAGAAATGCCACACAATGTCACAATACGTCAGATGTGGTAAAATAGCAGATTTGTAGAGTTGAAGTTTGGCTGAGTAGGGTATAAGGTTGCGTAGCCTCATTAGCACTCCTACTTTCTGGCTTGTTTTCTTACAGATGGCACTTATGTGTTCGCTGAATGATAGATTTTTATCAATGGACACTCCGGGGATTGATAGACGATCTGAAGATGTTACCACAACTTGTTTTTCAATTTCCAGCGCTATTTCCTCTGCTGGCTCTTTTGCTGAGGGTTTTGGATCGATGACAAGTATCTGGTATTTACTGGGGTTCGCCCTGAGAAGGTTCTCTGTGTACCACTGTGTCACTTTTTGCGTTTCGCTCTTGAGTTTTTGTAAAGCTACCTGGACCGAGTCCCCACTGGTGTATATTTGGTGGTCATCTGCATACATGAAGAGATTCTCTGTTCCTGTGTGTAACGGAAGGTCGTTTTGAAACAAGTTCCACAGTAGAGGTCCAAAGGACGAACCCTGTGGTCATCCTCTTGTTTGGTCTCTCCATGCACTAAACTGGTCTTGTAATTTTACTCGGTTTTTTCGTGAGCCAAAGAAAGATTGCATAAGATTTAGGGATGTTCCTGAGAAACCATATGCCTTGAGCTTCTGAACCATTAGTGCAGGGTACAAGGAGTTAAACGCTTTACTAATATCGGTGGATAATGCAGTTACACACTTTCTCTTATCGGCAGCCATTTTCCAATCCTCTGTTAACCTTAATAGAGTTCTCTCGCAGCTATGTTGTTTTCTATATGCCGCCATTTTTCCGTACAGGTGTGAATCCATGGCTGCAGTTATTTGTTGGCAAAGCAATGACTCGAACAACTTGTCTATTGAGTTTCCGACCAAAGTGGGGAACAATTTTATCTGCCTACTGCTGTGGTTGTAAGGCCGGTCTCGGAGAGTCCTGCTCGCATGTTGCCTTTGTTTTATTCTACCTTGAGGCATGGACAAAGAACTTTACCTCTGCGAAGAAAATGAAAGTAGATCTAGATGCACACCTAGACAGCCTGTCAGAGATGGCTGAAGTCGATAGCCACGGCCAAGATTCGAAAACTGAGTCAAAAGTTGTCCCAGATCCGTCAGAAGGTGAAATGGAGTCTTTCTTTGAAGAATTAAACAGCTGTAAATTTAAACCCATTGCCCAAGCCTTGTTTCAAGCCGACAGCTTTGTACTAAAAAGTCGCTAGATCCCTACAATTCACGATTTGTCCGATCCTGAATATCAGGATCTTGAGTATCCTGAACTGCTAAAGGTCTGTTTCGAGAAGAAAATTGCAAAGTCTGAAGATCAAATGACACATATTGAGGAAGACACCAGAAACCAGTCTCAAGGTACAAATGTTTTCAAGCACAGAGCTGGAAGGATTGGTGCCTCACAAAGTAAGCGGGCAGCTCACACAGATTTCTCATTGCCTTCTCAGTCTTTAATTCAAACAATTTGCTACCCTGAGCTTAATAAACTATTTTCAAAGGCGATTAAGCATGGGTGTGAACACGAGGGACTTGCAATCAATGCTTATGAACAGGTTATGAAGCAAAAACATTCAAATTTCAAAATTGTTAAATGTAGTACATTTATCAACAAAGAGCACCCTTGGCTTCATGTAACTCCAGACTTTTTCTGTTCTCGTGACTGTTGTGGGGAAGGATGTGGCGAAGTCAAGTGTCCTCTTTGCAAAGAAAATGGTGACTTTGACAACTATGTCTGTAAAAGTTCATCTTGTTTGAAGAAGGGCAACGCTGGCAAGTTTTGGCTCAAGCAAGACCCTGAATATTATTACCAGACACAACAACAACTGTTTACGGTAAAAAGAAAGTACCATGAGTTTATTGCACGGTTACATTTCTCCACCAGTGAATTATGCCTGATGAGCAACACTGGAGCTTTGTTCTGCCCAAGCTCATCAAGTTTTGGAGAACTTGTATTCTTCCTGAAGTGCTAAGCAAGTGGTACTCTAGGAAGCATTTTATGCCCCCCAGGACTAGGTATGGGCATGACCCCTCCCAAGCAAGTTTTGATATTCCAAGGATGAGACCTCACTTAGCCAATTGTTTGAGAGCCCGTAACATGCAGCTCTTCCCAACAGTTTCAATTTAATTTAGAAAATTTAATTGTTACCCTTAAACATTAACTAATAGTATATATGTATCGTACACAAACAAGTACATTGAAAAATCAGTCAAATGGGACAATTCCAGGGCAAAGGTTAACCAGAGCCGCACATACATTAATAATCCTGTCAATCATAGGAGTTGATGTTTCTTGGGAACCACTGGGGTTGCTAATTAAGAAATCAATTGGTAGAATTCCATTCAAAATAGTGTACTTCCTTCGAAGTAAACCAATTACTCGCTCAACATGTATGCGAACATTAGCAAATTCCCTGATTCCTTCGACATCCACTGGATCTAGCTGGTCTTTACCTCGTGTAAAGGCTGGAGTTGTA